ATTAGCTTCTCCTTCACTCCTTCGACGACAGCCCGTGCGACGCGAGGGCAAGCCATGACCTGCACCTCTGGCTTATCCTCCTCGTCGATGGAAATGATAGGCACATCAGCATGGGGATTACGGATGGGGACTTGGTACTCGGGGTAGACACGGTCTGGCACGACGACCTTGACCACCACGCCTGCATCCGCTGGATCTACCGGAAACCTGCATTTCAAAGGGCGATACATGATCCACCGGTTCCACTGTCGAACATCGCCGAAGATGGACTCCAGCATGCAGGAGACGATGATGGCAATGAGAGGTGAGGTGAGAGAGGCAATATGAGATAGGCTGGAGGCTAGGTGGTTTTCTGTGCGACGTGGCGGCTCGTGAATGCGGTGGGAGGACGACGACGAGGGTTTTCTAGAGACATGGGAAACCGAACGGGCGACACTTTAAGTAGTGAACGGCCACCACAACCAGCGGCGATCTGCTACTTAGCGAACGACCCGGTAGGACAATGCTACGGGACGAACAAGCCCAACAACGTATGTCCGATCCCCGTCGCTGTTGTCGGCCTGCGACTGCGAGGGATCAGTCATGTCAAAACGTGCTCAAAAAATGAACCCGGTGTTTTTGTCACTGTCAAATTTTTGGTTCAATGCAAAATGTCACTCGTAAGTGGTGGTTTATCGTGACACAACGTGGTGGCTGTGTGATTTTATCGTGACACAATGTCACTCGTCCCCCGGAGGCCGCCCCTGTCCCCCACACTAGTCCGCCCCATCCATCATGTTCGCCTCCATCTGCCGGCGGCGGCTCGCCCTCCGAATCCATCAAATCGCTGGCGGTGGCGGCAGGACAAACCCCCTCGAGTTCATCCCTGGCACCATCCCTCTCGCCCACTGCTACTCCTCGCCCGCCGTCGCCGAAGTCCCGAGCTCGGAGCCCTGCCCCGACACCGTTTCCTACCTCATCTCGTGCGGCCTCTCCCCCGCCGCCGCTGGCGCGGCCACCACCTCTCAACACCTCCGCATCCGCTCCACCGACAAGGCCGACGCTGTGCGCGCCCTCCTCAAGCTCTATGGCTTCGCCGACGCGGACATCGTCCGGACGTTGCGCAGCGCCCCGGTTCTCCTCGTCGTTGACCCCGAGCGGGTCCTCCGCCCCAAGCTCGACTTTTTCGCCTCCCTAGGTTTCGAGACCCACAAGCTCGCCACCGAGCCTTTGCTGCTTGCACGCAGCCTCGACAAGCACCTCGTCCCCGCCATCCAGTTCCTCCGCGGGATCATCGGCAGCGACGACGACCTCCGCCGCGCTTTTCACCGCGTCCCCCGCGGCCTCGCTGTGGACCTCGACAACAACATGCGCCCCGCCGTGGAAGCTCTCCGCCGCGGCGGCCTCGCAGAGGCCGACATTTCGAAGCTGCTCGTCATCCGGTTGGGCGTGCTCTTGTCGTCACGGGATCGCATCAGCGAAATCTTTGAGGAACTCAAGGCGATGGGCATGTCCGTCCTGGACCCACGCTTCCTCTACTGCTTCCGTGCGATGTCCGGTGTTAAGAGGGACTCATGGCTGCGGAAAATGGCATTTTACCAGAGCTTCGGGCTGTCAGAGGGTGAGTTGCTGCAGGCCTTCAAGAAGCAGCCCACGATATTCCTTTTCGCCGATGAGAGCATAAACAAGAAGGTCCGGTTCCTGCTGGACGAGCTGAAGCTTGGAATAAGTGATGTAATTGCGCGGCCTGTAGTTCTAGGTTATAGCTTGGAGAAGTGCATCCTGCCGAGGTGTGCCGTGCTGAGTGTGTTGATGAGGGAGGGGAGGATTCGGAGAGATATCAAATTGCTTCAGGCATTGCTTGGCAGTTCCAGGAATTTCGAGACCAGGTATGTGTTGAGGCATGCTGATGATGTGCCAGATGTTGTTAAGGCATATCAGGGTAAGATCAAATTTGAAGGATTCAAATAGGCTGGTCTTCTAGAATGATATAATTCTAGATTAGGCTTATGTTTCTAGTGCCAATGTTAAAGATCAAGTCATGATTCATGATTCATGATTCTAACAGTACTTCCGAGGACAGTTTTGCCCTATTGGTAGCCCATGTTACTGGGTATCAACTACATTTGCAGTTTTACAACTGTCATTTTTACGTCCTGCGGCCTATTAAAATCTGCCCCCTCCATTTCTAAATATAAGCCCTTTTAGAGATTTCAATGAGAACTATATAGACATATTTTAGTGTGTAGATTCACTTATTTTGCTCCGTATGTAGTCCATATTTGAATCTCTAAAAAGCTTTATATTTAGAAATGGAGGGAGTAGAAACATAGGATGGTTTGTTGCTATCCGAGTTTCTTGATCAGTTGATCTAGTATGTTGAACCAATTCTTTTAACCGTTCATGCTTTTAGATTGATTATTCCGATAACTCTGTGCATGACAAACATCACTCATCTGAAGTCTCAGGTTCTTTCAAATAAATAATGCTGTCGTGTTGTCCAGAGTAGAGAACTTGCACTTGCTAGTTCCTCTCCCTAGATGTAGTGCTGATGTTTACCAACAGATGTGGGTGGGATGAACTTGCTATTTGGTCTAAGAAATGCGGATCTGTTCACGTCCAGGAATATTACATATGGTAAGGTCTATCCTAGAGAGACATGGACCCCCCTATTTGTGGCAAGGTCTATTCTAGAGAGACACCCCTATTCCTGAAACAATGATCTTTGCCCTTGAAGTTTGATGGAGTTCCTCTCAGTTTGCATTTTATCAAGTGCTTCAGACTTCAGCCTTTCAGTTCTGTTGAAAATATAGAAGGGTAAGCTAGTCCGAAACCGGAATTGTTGCATGCTTTATCAGACATAACACTAAATTCTCTTGTTCCGGATCGCTGAACGAGTGTGTTGGTCTGTATGTTAATGTTGTACCTGATTGAGGACAGGATAGAGCAAGAATCAGAGAGTTTTGAGTATCCAAACTTGGCCTTCTGACGGAGCCAAAAATTTGGTATAGGGGGGGCGAGTTCCACAATAGAGCTCTACTAGAGTAATGAGCTAAAAATTGAACATTTAGAGTGTGTGAAACAACGCTAAACTTGAACTCATGTTTTCGATAATGTTTGGTACAGAAGAAGACAATACAAATTTTCCACTTTGACAAGACAAATTTGTTCTGAAATTAGTTATATAGGAAAACTGGGTACACCATGCTATAACTAATTGATTCCAACTCCAATTTTTATGTCGATCAATATACCGTTATTCATGTTAGACAACAAAAATTAGAGATTTTAGACGAGGTTAATTAATAATGAGACTGAACGTACCATAGAGGCCTAAACGGCGGCGTGCATCATCATGTACGTGAACAAATTGTGTCGTGCTTCCCCTAATCCCCTGCATGTTGGTTAATGACAAATGATTGATTGAGGGTCTCAATGCTTGGACTGTTAGAGCATCTCCAGCCGTTGGCCCCTCAGGAGGGGCAAAAAATCGCCCCCGGGGGAGCACCGGCGCTAAACCGCGCACTGGGGGCGTAATGTCCCCCAGTCGCGGCCCCCCACGGGTTTTTAAAATGTTTAAATTCGACGCAAACACAATGCAAACACGTTCGAGTTCGATCAAATTTAAACATATTTTACAAAAAAAAAAAGAAAAAACTATCGCGGGCTACCCCCGTCGTTTCCCTCGCCGCCCGCCCACGCGGTTCTACAGCCTCATGCCGAGGAGGCTGTAGAACTGCGTGTAGTCACCGTCGTCGTCGTCGTCGTCGCCCCCGCCGACGCCTCTGCCGTCCCTGCTGCATCCCTTTCCCGGTTGGCGCGGCGGGTTGGACGGTCCGGGGGCGTCATCGTCGTCGCTGTCGAGGACCACAACGCCGTGCTCGTCCTCGCGCCCACGCTTGCGGGCGGCGATCTCCTCCAGGGCCCGACGCTGCCGGACCATCTCGTCGCGGAGGTAGTCGTCCCGCGCCCACCGCAGGGCGTCCTCGTCGGAGAAGCCACGCGGGCTACCTCCTCATACTCCGTGGGGAGGCCGGGCTCCGGCTTGGGCTCGACGAGGACGAACCGGCCGGTGGGGGAGGCGTTGTCGCCGATGCGGACGCCGGAGCTGCGGGTGCGCGCGCTGACAGACGTGCCCTAGGGCTCCGGCTTGACGGGGCGGAGGTGCAGGCAGGGGGAGCCGCCGGACGAGGAGGAGGACCCCCCTGGTCTCCATGCGCCTCGGGGTCCAGGAGCTTCCCCGGCGGCGTGGGAAGGACGGGGAGCGGGGTACTCGAGGTGCGGCGTGTTGCCGCCCTCGATGTACTCGAGGACGGCCTCCAACGTGCGCCCGGGCACGCCCCACCACCGACACCGGCCGACGGCGTTGAGCCTGCCGGAGAGCTCGACGTCGTTGGTGGCCTCGAGCTGCTCGGCGTGACAGCGGCGGAAATAAGGCTCCCAGAGCGGGCTGTCGGGGACGTACCGTGGCCCCTCCCTTGCCGCACACGGCAGGGACGAGCGGATGCGTGCGATCTCCGCACGCCGCATCGCGCTGGTGGGTATCGGGGGCATCGACACACCGGCGGCGCTGATCCTCCACGCCCCGGGCACCCGCATGTCCGGCGGGACCGGGTACTCGGCCTCGAAAAGGAGGCGAGCCTCGTTCTCGTGAAGATGGCGGCGGCCGAAGCCGTTCGCCGCCGCGCCGTCGCCTGGGAAGCGCTCGGCCATGGGTATGATGAACTGGAGACGGCGAGAGAGAGGAGAGGGAGGAACGACGACGGCGAGAGAGTGCGAGTCGCCGAGTGCGCTGGGGCGCGTCTTATATAGGCCGAGGCGCCGCCCGTGCGCGAGCCGCCGTGAGTACACGTGGCGGGCGAGGGAGGGCGAGGGGCGCGCGTCATCCGGTCTTCACTGCGCCGCCCGTGAGGCATCAATGGCGCAGGCTGACCGGCGCGGCAGCGCGGCAGCTTTGGCATTGATTCGCCGCGAGAAACGAGGCGATGAGGACGACGAAGGGGCGAGAAGAGGGTAGAGTCGCTGACGCAGCGGGCCCGCGGCTGTTTCGCGCCAAAACAGTTCGCCCGGCGCCCCCGGGCGCCACCCAGCGCGCCACGTTTGGCCTGGGTCCGCCGGCGCTGTTTTCGGCCCAAGCCGGCGAAAATCAGGCTCCTGGGGACGCGACTGGGCCGATTTTTCGACGCCGGCGCAAAAAAACCGCCTGAGGAGGCCTTCCTGAGGCGCGGCTGAAGATACCCTTAGACTCAAGTGCCCTCGCAAATGTTTTCCATTGTTCTCTTCTCCTAATCACCTTCATATCTACACGGCACATTTGGATAATCAAGTCTTTCCTAATTACTTTCAACTGCTTGTAGTACTCTCTTCGTCCAAAAATACTTGTCATCAAAATGGACAAAAAGGGATGTATCTAGAACTAAAATACATCTAGATACATCTTCTTTTATTCATTTTGATGACAAGTATTTCCGGACGAAGGGAGTAGTTTTTACTGGCACAAACCGCATAGATTTGAACAGATTAGAAATTAAGAGATGAAATAAAGGAGTAAGGATTGATTGTGCACCTATGCAACCGTGGTGGATCTCGTTTAGTCCTCTTCTGGTTTCTGATTGGAAACTGCAGTAAACTCGCCCTGGCGGCGATAGGCGGAGACTCAAGCGGAGTGTAGGTAGAAAGATCTCGTGTTGTTGCCGCTCATCCGTGCGCCCGGTCTACCGGCAAGGTGGCAACGCTTCCGTGGATCGGTGTCTGCTTTTGCATCCTGCATGTCTCGGGCGGCCCCTTCCCTTCCGCCCTTCTCAATGGCGACGCGATGGAGAGATCTGATCAGGATCAGCAGCCAGCACTTGCAGCTGCAGGTGTCGGTTTAGATCATAGAAGCGGCATAGAGGTTAGCGATACGTGTGTGACTATTTTTTTTGGACGCGTCTAGGGAGCACACGTGTGCTCCCTAGGCGTTCCTGAGCACACAACCAAAAAAAGGTAACCTTTTGTCTAATTGATATGGTGTAAAATCAATTTAAAGAAAGAAAAGATATTGTCCCATGTGCAATTATTTTGTGTGTTAAAAATTTCAAAAAGTCATAACTTTTGAATCAAGCATTGAAATTAAGATCCGTTTTCACCTTTAGGTCTCCAACGCCGAGCTCTTCGAAACTAGATCCCATATGGGCATGTTTCGACGAACTTTTTTTTCTTAAGCAACTTTGGTGCCACGGAGAGGCAACTTTTTATACTATAGTAGGCAACTTTCGGTTAGGCTGCGTATCATGGTCATGTATTATCCTGATGTTCTTTTGAGTTGGCTACGACAACTACCAAGTTGCCTAGGATCACATGTAAGTTGCAAACTTGCATACCATGAATACCTATCAACTTTGATGCTAGATGAAAAAACCGTGTTGTCAGGTTATCTATCAGGACTACATATGAATCTCAAAGATGTTATAAAGTTAGCTACTATGTCCGTCAAGTTGCCTAGCGTCACCTACGAAGTTACTTTCAGTGAACTTTTTTTTCTTAGGCAACTTTGGTTTCACGGGGAGGCGACTTTTTATACTACCGTAGGCAACTTCTGGCTAGGCTTGTGTATCATGGTCACTATCATCCCGATGGTCTTTTGAGTTGGTTACGATGATTACCAAGTTGCCTAGCATCACATGTAAGGTGCCTACCATGACTACCTATCAACTTTGATGCTACATGAAAAACCTTGTTGTTAAGTTGTCGATCATGCTACCTATCAACTCAATGGTGTAATAAAGTTGGCTATCATGTCCGTCAAGTTGCCTAGCCTCACCTATGAAGTTGCTTTTGACAAACTTTTTTCTTTGGCAACTTTGGTGCCACGGAGAGGTAACTTTTTATACTACGGAAGGCAACTTTCGGTTAGGTTGTGTATCATGGTCACATATCAAGTTGGCGGTACCTGAAGTTACCTATCAGGTGATGCAGGTGCATATGAGTAT